AGTGTCAGACCTCCCAAGGGAATGGCAGACCTGCCGAGGGAATGCCAGGCCTGCCAGGGGAATGCCAGACCTGCCAAGGGGGTGCCAGACCTCCCAAGGGAATGCCAGACCTGCCAAGGGAGTGCCAGACCTGCCAGGGCAGTGCCAGACCTCCCACCACACCCGGGAGCCGCGGGTTTAATTTCAGCCCCGGCACAAACTCCCCCCTCGCAGCTCCCACATTCCCACCGGGAATGCGGGGAAAAAAGTGGGAATTTTCCACCTAGACCTGGTCTCTTCTGAGTCACACCCAGAGCAGCTCTTGGAGCAGCTCCTGGGGGCACAAAGGGATTTTTGTTATAGAGCTTTCCCCAATCTGAGGTTTCGTTTAACGGATGGGAATTCCGTGGCCCAGGATATTGGGTGATTGTTATTTTCCAGGCCATTCCTGAGGCCTGGATTCCTGGGAATTGTGTACCTGAGAGATGGCTTTGAAGGCTGCTGTCCTGCCCAGCTTCTCCCCTCCCTTGGTGACGGACTCAGCCGATTGTTTGGCCGTTTTTGCTGCTTCTTCCACGCCCTCCTTGATCCGGCGGCCGATGTCGCTCTTACTGACCTCATCCAAACTCTGCCAGAAAACAGGGAAGGGGAAGGTCAGAGCAGCTCCTGCCATTCCTTGTCCTCATCCCGATCCATCCCCAGCTCTCCTGGTGCCCCTTCAGGCCCTGGAAAGGGTTTAAGGTCTTCTTGGAGTCTTTTCGTCTCCAACCTGCCCTTGGACACTCCCAGGGATGGGGCAGCCACAGCTTCTCTGGGAATTCCATCCCAGTCCCTCACTACCCTCCCAGCCAGGAATTCCTTCCCAATATCCCACCTAACCCTGCCCTCTTTCACTTTGAAGCAATTCCCTCGTCCTGTCCCTCCATCCCTTGTCCCAAATTCTTCTCCAGCTCTCCTGGAGCCCCTTCAGGCACCAGAAGGGGTGTAAGGTCTCCCTGGAGCCTTCCCTTCTCCTTGGACGCTCCCAGGGATGGGGCAGCCACAGCTTCTCTGGGAATTCCATTCCAGCCTCTCCCCACCCTCCCAGCAAGGAATTCCTTCCCAATATCCCATCTATCCCTGCCCTCTGGCACTGGGAAGCCATTCCCTGTGTCCTGAACCTCCATCCCTCATCCCAATCCCCCTCCAGCTCTCCTGGAGTCCCTCAGGCCCTGGAAGGGGCTCCAAGGTTTCCTTGGAATCTTCTCTTCTCCAACCCGGCCTTGGACACTTCCAGGGATGGAGCAGCCACAGCTTCTCTGGGAATTCCATCCCAGGCCCTCCCCACCCTCACAGCCAGGAATTCCTTCCCAATATCCCATCTAAATTTCCCCTCTTTCACTTTGAAGCCATTCCCTGTGTCCTGTCCCTCCAGCCCTCATCCCAAATCCCTCTCCAGCTCTCCTGGAGCCCCTTTAGACCCTGGAAAGGGCTCTCAGGTTTCCCTGGAACTTTCTCTTGTCCAGGTGAACCCCCCTCAGTTCTCCCAACCTGGAGAATCCCAAATCCCAGGATGGTTTGGGTTGTGGGCAGGGACACCTTCCACTACTCCAAGTTGCTCCAAATCCCCTTCCAACCTCAGCTACTCCAAAATTCCCAAAGTTCACCAGATATATCTTTAAAAATCTGGGAATTTTCACCAGATATATCTTTAAAAATCTGGGAATTTTCCACCTGGAACTGGGCTCTTCTGAGTCACACCCAGAGCAGCTCCTGGAGCAGCTCCTGGGGCCAAAAAGGGATTTTTTTTTTATAGAGTTTTCCCCAATCTGAGGTTTTATTTAATGGATGGGAATTCTGTGGCCCAAAATTTCATGTGGTTGTGATTTTCCAGAGTTATTTTAGGCAGGAATATTCTGGAAAACTCATCCAGTGCCCCCTCTGAAATCCAGGGTGATTCCTTGCTGGGAAAGGTCTGGATGGAAGAGATGCCAGAGGTGTGATCCGAGGCAGAAATTGGAATTTAAGGGGCTTTAAACATCAAATAAAAGGCTCCAAAAAAAGCTCAGTTTGTTCCTAATTTAGAAAATCAACCACTTGGCACCGAGGAGGGAAAAAAAAAAAGGTGATAATTAAAATTACACCCAAATCTCCCACTTAAAAGTTGAATTTCCTCAGGGAAAGGTCCTTTTACCTCTTTAACTGTCCCTGTTATTTCTTCAAGTTTCTTTTTAATCACTTCTGAGGTTTTCACTGTTTCGGATTCGATGGTTTTCTGGGGGGAAAAAAACCAAAATGAGGACCAAAAACCCCTCAAGAGCAGTTTAGTACAGAATAAAATCCCATTAAAGCTGGAATTGAGGGAAAAAAAATTCCATTTTAGGAGCTCCTCACTTGAGTCACCAGCTCAGTTTGGTAAATAAGGTTTACAGCTCTCAAACCCAACTGTTTAATGGCAAATTTAATGGTAAATTTAAAGTCAAATTTAATGTTAAATTTAATGCCAAATTTACTGGCAAATTAAATTAAATGGCAAATTTAATGTTAAATTTAATATCAAATTTAATGGTAAATTTAATGCTAAGTTTATTACCAAATATAATGTCAAATTTAATGCCACATTTAATGTCACATTTATTGCTAAATTCAATGTCACATTTATTGCTAAATTTAATGCCAAATTTGATATCAAATTCAATGCCAAATTTAATGTCACTTTTAATGCCAAATTCAATGTCACATTTAATGTCAAATTTAATGTCAAATTTAATGTCAAATTTAGTGCTAAATTTAATGCCACATTTAATGTCAAATTTAATGATAAGTTTAATGCCAAATTCAATGTCAAATTTAAAGCCAAATTTAATGCTAAATTTAATGTCATATTTATTGTCAAATTTAATATCAAATTTAAAGT